TATACTTGAGAGCTGGACCCAGGACTTATAAATCCTATGGTCCTTATAATACCTAGCACATATTAGAGTCTCAATAAAAATGACTTCACCTCACCATACACAAAAATAAACTGAAAATGGCTTAAAGACTTAAACAAAAGACATCATCATAAAACTCCTAGAAGAGAGCATAGGCAAAACATTCTCTGACATAAATTGTACTGACGTTTTCTTAGGTCAGTCTCCCAAGGTAATAGAAATATAATCAAAAATGAAAAAAAAAAAATGGGACTTTTTTCAAAAATGAAATGAAAATGGGACTAATCAAACTTACAAGCTTTTGCACAGCCAAGGAAACCATAAACAAAATGAAATGACAACCTACAGAATGGGAGAAAATGTTTGCAAATGATGCAAGTGAAAAAGGCTTTCTTTCCAAAATATACAAACAGCATAAACAAATGAACAACAAAAAACAAACAACCCTATCCAAAAATGGGCAGCAGACCTAAATAAAATCCAAAAAAGATACACAAGTGATTAATAGACACAAGAAAAAATGTTCAACATCATGAATTACTAGAGAAATGCAAAGCAAAACTATAATGAAATACCACTTTAACTGGCCAGAATGGTCATCATCAAAAAGTCTACAAATAACAAATGCTGGAAAGGGTATGCAGGAAAGGGAATCCTCTTACACTGTTGGTGGGAATGTATATTGGTACAGCCACTGTGGAAAATAGCATAAAGAGTCCTCAGAAAACTAAAAGTAGAATTACCATATGATCTAGCAATCCCACTTCTGGTCATACACTCAGACAACACTATAATTAAAAAAGATACATGCACCCCTAGGTTCACAGCAGCTCTATTCATAATAGTCAGGACATGAAAACAAAGTAAATGTCCACTGACAGATGAATGGATAAAGATGTGGTACATATATATAATAGAATACTACTCAGCCATAAAAAAGAATGAAATAATGCCATTTCCAGCAACATGGATGCAGCTAGAGATTTTCTAGCTGCGTATTAATACTAAGTGAAGCAAGTCAAAAAGAGAAAGACAAATATCTTAAGATTTCACTTATATGTGGGATCTAAAATATGGCACAAATGAACCTATTTATGAAACAGAAATAGAATCACGGACATACAGAACAGACTGGTGGTTGCTGAGGGGGAAGGATGGAGTGGGAGGTTGGGGTTAGCAGATGTAAGCTTTAGTATATAGAATGGATAAACAACAAGGTCCTACTGAACAGCATAGAAAGTTATAGTCAATATCCTATGATAAACCATAATGGAAAAGAATATTTAAAAAGGAAGTATATATATGCATAGCCGAATTACTTTGCTGTATAGCAGTAATGAATATAACACTAAATCAACTACACTTTAATAAAAAATATGACTTGATAATGAGTCTCTGACATTATTTTTCTGTGGGACTTTATGTTATTTATCTTTACTATGACCTATCTTGCATATTTGTCAGCGGGAAAAGTATTTCTTGACTTATTGTTTATAGATGTTGTGAAGCTTCTGTAAGTGAATGTGAAAATATTCTAAAAAGTTAAAATTCCTCTACAGGTGTCAAGTATTATCACTACCTTTCAGATAGGTAACCAGGTAGTTGAGCTTTCTTAGGCATATGGGAGATATCTTGTTTTGAAGACAACCCTAGGTTAAATTACCTAGCTTTTCCCCTAATGATACACTCTCTGATATTGTCAAAGGCATATTTACCTCTGTTGCCTTTCTGAATTCTCAACTATGATTACCTTCTTCATTAATAAACCAGAAAATATCACTTTGTTTCAACTGCTGAAAGCTATGCAGACAGTAGTGGAAAGAAAAAGATAGTGAATACTATTCTTTGGTCTCAAAGCTGAATGAACCTTCCTAATTTTCTAAAATCCCAGTGGTGCTAGTGGTAAAGAATCTGTCTGCCAATGCAGGAGATGCAAGAGACACCAGTTCAATCCCTGGGTTGGGAAGATCCCCTGGAGGAGGGCATGGGAATCCACTCCAATATTCTTGCGTGGGAAATCCCTTGCACAGATGAACCTGGTGGGCTACAGTCTGTGGGGTCACAAAGAGTTGGACATGACTGAGCATGCATACACACATGTGATAAGCATGGAAATTAACTAATTAATCTTCAATTTAAACTTTTATTCTCAAAGCTGATTATCATCTACTGAGTGCTTTAAAAAAATTTTTTATTGGACTATAGCTGATTTACAATGCTGCGTTGTTTCAGGCATACAGCAAAGTGAATCATTTATACATATATCCACTCTTATAGATTCTTTTCTCATATAGGTCATTCCAGAGTACTCAGTAGAGTTCCCTGTGCTATATAGTAGGTCCTTGTTAGTTACCTATCTTATATATAGTAGTGTGTATATATTAATCCCAATCTCCCAAATTATCTCTCTCCCCTTACCCCCTAGTAATCATAAATTTGTTTTCTACATCTGTGACTATTTCTATTTTGTAAATAAGTTCATTTGTACTCTTTTCTTTTAAGATTTCACATATAAGCAGTATGTACTGAGTGCTTTTCAAATTTCATTTCTTAGCATTAGAATCCTCTATTCTCTAACTGAAATTTTACAGAACAGATAAATGTGAGGTTGCTCGTTTTAAATCAGGAACTTCAGAATGAAGAGGCCAGAACAAAACTCTTGATCTTCTCTACTCCCCCTGCAGCAGACCTGAGCATTCTCTAAGGAAATAGAGTTTGAAAATCATTGGTTTAAGTAAGGTGATCTTATTAATCTAAGTGAGATTTTATTGAAGTGGTCATGAGTAAAACTGGCTATGAAGAAAAAGAAAAAAAATGTCAATGAGTTTTCTTCTTATCTGGTCCAAATATAAGTGTGTGGGGTCCTAAAACTGTTTGGGACTTTCAGACAAGTAAATTCTGACTTGAAAATACCAGCTACTGCTGGAGAAGGAAGAAAAGAAGGCCTATTTGTAAAAATAGAGAAAAAAGGTCTTTAACTTACCCAGAGCACAAGGACATTCATGAGGTGGTCTATGTGTGTCCGTTTAAAGGTGGACTTCCCACTGTTCTGCATTACTTTGGTGTCTGGTCCTAAATCAAACAGGGAGACATCATCTCTTAGAATCACTAAATATTCTCGAGGACTGAAATTGGGTTGAAATACACCTTTATGATCACTTTATCAAACTTCTTTCCAATGCTAAAGGATAAAGCCTTGGAGAAAGGCTTGTGGTTGGTGCCCCAAACTCAAAGAATGGAAAATTTATTTCTTAGGATAATCCCAATTACTTCTTCAAGCTGCATCAATGCCGACAGCTCCCTCTCTTTGCAGCACCTTAGACAGTCTAGTTTTTCATTGATAAGTTAGAATAGGGGCCTCAAGCTTCTTTCTCATCACCATCTGGTTTATTTAGCTTAGAAAAAGGGTCTTCTGACAAGGAGATCTTCACCTTTTGAGGAAACCCATAGCTGGACCAGGCTCTATTTAAAGTTTCTAACTAGGAAATGGAGAAAGTAAAAGGCAATGGCAAGTGATTTCTTCTGAGGTGGGAGCTGAGATTTCTCTGGAGCTGAGCGATACAGACTTTGAACTTCATGATAGGACAGACAATAAGTAGAAATAAAGGACTTTTAATGACACACTGGGACTGGAAATTATTATCTCACTGTGGTTGTTGTGACCAAAACTCACTGCCACCGAGGGCACAGGGAGCACAAGAGCGCCCTTCATTTTCCGGCACTGCGTCATAACTCCAGAAAGTCCCCGACTAAGTATGAGGGATTACGGTTCTAAATGCCATCTCAGGACGGGCCACTGCTCAGGAGCCACATGTGCCTTTTCTCTGGCATGAACACATCACACTGTGTTTTATCTTCTCCATAATGAGCACCATGTTTATTCTCTCCTCATGCAAGTAATCCACATATATACCCTCCCGTTTCACATTGTTCTCCTTTCAAATGCTAATTCTATGTATAATGGGAAGATCCCCTGGAGGAGGGCATGGGAATCCACTCCAATATTCTTGCGTGGGAAATCCCTTGCACAGATGAACCTGGTGGGCTACAGTCTGTGGGGTCACAAAGAGTTGGACATGACTGAGCATGCATACACACATGTGATAAGCATGGAAATTAACTAATTAATCTTCAATTTAAACTTTTATTCTCAAAGCTGATTATCATCTACTGAGTGCTTTAAAAAATTTTTTTATTGGACTATAGCTGATTTACAATGCTGCGTTGTTTCAGGCATACAGCAAAGTGAATCATTTATACATATATCCACTCTTATAGATTCTTTTCTCATATAGGTCATTCCAGAGTACTCAGTAGAGTTCCCTGTGCTATATAGTAGGTCCTTGTTAGTTACCTATCTTATATATAGTAGTGTGTATATATTAATCCCAATCTCCCAAATTCTCTCTCTCCCCTTACCCCCTAGTAATTATAAATTTGTTTTCTACATCTGTGACTATTTCTATTTTGTAAATAAGTTCATTTGTACTCTTTTCTTTTAAGATTTCATATATAAGCAGTATGTACTGAGTGCTTTTCAAATTTCATTTCTTAGCATTAGAATCCTCTATTCTCTAACTGAAATTTTACAGAACAGATAAATGTGAGGTTGCTCGTTTTAAATCAGGAACTTCAGAATGAAGAGGCCAGAACAAAACTCTTGATCTTCTCTACTCCCCCTGCAGCAGACCTGAGCATTCTCTAAGGAAATAGAGTTTGAAAATCATTGGTTTAAGTAAGGTGATCTTATTAATCTAAGTGAGATTTTATTGAAGTGGTCATGAGTAAAACTGGCTATGAAGAAAAAGAAAAAAAATGTCAGAGTTTTCTTCTTATCTGGTCCAAATATAAGTGTGTGGGGTCCTAAAACTGTTTGGGACTTTCAGACAAGTAAATTCTGACTTGAAAATACCAGCTACTGCTGGAGAAGGAAGAAAAGAAGGCCTATTTGTAAAAATAGAGAAAAAAGGTCTTTAACTTACCCAGAGCACAAGGACATTCATGAGGTGGTCTATGTGTGTCCGTTTAAAGGTGGACTTCCCACTGTTCTGCATTACTTTGGTGTCTGGTCCTAAATCAAACAGGGAGACATCATCTCTTAGAATCACTAAATATTCTCGAGGACTGAAATTGGGTTGAAATACACCTTTATGATCACTTTATCAAACTTCTTTCCAATGCTAAAGGATAAAGCCTTGGAGAAAGGCTTGTGGTTGGTGCCCCAAACTCAAAGAATGGAAAATTTATTTCTTAGGATAATCCCAATTACTTCTTCAAGCTGCATCAATGCCGACAGCTCCCTCTCTTTGCAGCACCTTAGACAGTCTAGTTTTTCATTGATAAGTTAGAATAGGGGCCTCAAGCTTCTTTCTCATCACCATCTGGTTTATTTAGCTTAGAAAAAGGGTCTTCTGACAAGGAGATCTTCACCTTTTGAGGAAACCCATAGCTGGACCAGGCTCTATTTAAAGTTTCTAACTAGGAAATGGAGAAAGTAAAAGGCAATGGCAAGTGATTTCTTCTGAGGTGGGAGCTGAGATTTCTCTGGAGCTGAGCGATACAGACTTTGAACTTCATGATAGGACAGACAATAAGTAGAAATAAAGGACTTTTAATGACACACTGGGACTGGAAATTATTATCTCACTGTGGTTGTTGTGACCAAAACTCACTGCCACCGAGGGCACAGGGAGCACAAGAGCGCCCTTCATTTTCCGGCACTGCGTCATAACTCCAGAAAGTCCCCGACTAAGTATGAGGGATTGCGGTTCTAAATGCCATCTCAGGACGGGCCACTGCTCAGGAGCCACATGTGCCTTTTCTCTGGCATGAACACTTCACACTGTGTTTTATCTTCTCCATAATGAGCACCATGTTTATTCTCTCCTCATGCAAGTAATCCACATATATACCCTCCCGTTTCACATTGTTCTCCTTTCAAATGCTAATTCTATGTATATTTCTATGTGTATACCTTGTCTTGTGTCCAGATGTGGTTAGAAAGACTCATGAATGTTCTGTGGCCTTGGAACACAAAGCCTTCTACTATCAAAGGCAGGGCTGATATGCTGGCAGCTCAGTATTTGGAAAAAAAGTCATTTTTTTTTCCCTAAGAAAGAAGTTTTTTCTTAATTCCTCCACCTATCTATCCATCTCCCTGCTTCCCTTCCTCAAAGCCATAGTGTTCTGGTATATATCTGAGCATCATATCCACATCATGAAAACTAAGAATTCACAATATGGCTGTGAATGGAATCCAGCAGGCTGGGGTCTGTGACTCCAGAAAGACGCACCAGTAAAAATCACCAAGCCATAGCACCAGTCCGTATTCCTGATGACACAGCCTCGGAGGATCAGTCTGTCATGATTCAGGATGTAGTTTTTCCCCTTATACATGAGTATTCCTGTGAATCTGTCCAGCTTGTTATTGGGAGACTCACACCTCACTTCTCCTGGGGGAAAAAAAAGGAATAAGAGTCTTGACTCTGTAATCTTAATTCTTTCCTAACAGGAAAGAGGAAGCTTAATAGAAAAGAGGAAAGAACAAGCCTCTTTCAAAATATACACTCATCTTCTTTTCCTATCATTTCTCAGCCACTGCCCATTTCTCAGCAGCTCCCTTTAGAAAGGCAGACAAAGGGTTCTGGGCATTAGAGAAGAGTAATTCTGTGACATTGGTTATCCAGAAAGAGAACAACTCACATGATAACTTATTACCATTAGTACTTCCAGATCAAATGAGCTAAATCTGAATAAATTCAGAAACTACTTAAAGCAAACCTAGTATTTTTTTCAAAATGGAAATAAGTTAATTTTTTCATGATTAGTAAACTAAAATATGCCCTTTGGAAATATATATACAACATTAAAAGGAGAAAGTAAAATTCACTCATTGCCTAGAAATAAGTGCTGGTAACCTTTTATAGTATATCCTTCCAAGATTTTTTCTATATATATATTCATAAACATGTATATATTTCCAAAGACAAATTTATGTTACATTATACTATGCATAGTGTATTATAATCTTTTTACACTTATATGTTGTGAATATTTTTCCACATAAGTAAATATCAACTTGCATACTGTTTTTTATGAGTTATATAGAATTCACTATATGGCTGTATCACACTTTAACCACACCTTCACTGATAAAAATTTGGGTTGGCAAATCTATTTCAAAACTCACCATCAAAAGCAGACAGAAGCTTCAGATTATCTTCCATCTCACTGGTAACCGAGATGGCCTGCTTCACTTTCAAGTTGGTTTCACTAGAGTAAAGAATGCACATAGATAACAGCGGTACAGGTCCAATTTCTCCTACTTTAGAAAACAGTTTTTGCCAACAGAGCTTGGCTTTTAGACTTGACTTGTTCGAGTCACTCCTACTATCATCCTCTCTCAAGGACAGTATTGAGGCAGAATGGTTCTACAAGGAAGCTAAATATTAGCCCACTTGCTCCCCTCTCTCCCTGAAACACGTATCAACTACTTTAACCAACCTATGAGACCTTGCTGGTCAGATGCTCTAGAAAAGCTGAAGAAACATCACAAAACAACCTGGAGGTGGTACCTACTCCCTTCAAGAGTAAGGTCCTGGAAAGAACCTGTGAAAGCTTCCAAGTAAACGTACTCTTCATCTCACAAATGTTTATAGGACCCATGAACGGATTCCAGCTAACCATTATTTGATACAGAAATGCACAGAGACAGAAGTAAAAAAGAAGCCACATTTCAAAAAGTTTGTGGGCACTAAGAGAAAGAGTTTTAAGGATGCAGATTAACATAAAACTCCACAGGACAAGCTCTCTGAAGATGGCCTCTGTCTTCCAAAGATCTTAGCTTTTGCACATTAATGAATTGCTACCTTAAATCCTTTCCAGAACATGGTCTATCAGCACATAATTATTTCAGTATTCATTCCCTCACCCCAAGAAACTGTGGAACTATATTCTGAAATTTCATATTCCAGTTAACTTCTTTCCTACCACTCAGCATTATTGAATACAGTCAGACTGAATGTTTCCAATATGAAGATGGAGAATATTTGCCCAGATTCTGCCCCCAGTTGGATGCTCAATTATCTGTCAAGAGCTCAGCCTTAGACTTGAGGCCTCCCATCTTATCTGGATATTTCTAGCTTTTAGCACTTCATTCTCTGTATCATGCTCCCCCTCAGTGAGAAATCACTCTAAGCTGGCTTAACCATCTTAATGGACTATGAGGAAGGAACACTCACCCATCCAGTTCTGCAGTTTCTATATATGTCAAACTGTAGGGCTCGCTGCTTGAGAGTAATAGTATATCAGCCTGCAGTCAGGAAAGGCAGAGAAGATAAGGAAGGCAGACTTTTAAAATTACAGCGTGACAAAAGCAATTACCTCAGGAACAGCTATTCATCCTAAGAATTTTATAGACACTGGGTTTACTTTCTTTGTCTCAAGACTCATCACTGGTACCACACACCTCCTTTCTCAAAGCCAGTCATACTTTACTTGGGGTTGTGGTGAGAAGTGGACAAGAACAAACTTCTTACCACAGGAGCTGGTGATCACAGTGAAGCAGGTGAATATCACCAAAAGGAGCAGTCACAGAAGGGCTAAAAAGGTTCCTACTCAAGCCCAAAGAGAAAGAGTCACAGCCCAAAGAGGTACTCACCGTGACAATCTGGTTGTTTTCTAGTTTAATTATATCTCCCACTTGGACATTCATCCATTTGTCTGTCACTATCCTGCAAGAAAGTGAGCCTTGAATGCCTGCATGCCAGCTCTGAGAATTTCCCTACAGTCCTGTTTTGACAATCGTGGCGGGGGGTGGAGTAAAGTAATTAGCCTCCAACTAATAAAAATAAATGGAAAAAAAAAAGACAAAAAAAAAAAAGAATGGGACCCATTTCTCTTGATCAGGCTATAAGAGTTTTCTAAAACTCTATAACGGTATATGTAGATATACAGGCACATAATTTTTCTTTAAGTAAAAGCAATATATGCATATGGTAAAAATACAGTTCAAATAATTTGAAAAAAAAAGAAAAAGAAAAAGTAAAGTTTCCTCTCTCCCCAGATTATAGTTTTGTCACTCAGAGCAATTTTTTGCATTTCTTTTGAGAAAATGTCAATCCATATAATCACATACAAGATACACATTTAAAAATGACATACTAGATACATAATTTTCTGTACTTTGAGTTTTTCATTTAATAATAAATCTGAGAGAACACTTATAGGAGGTGTGGCTCATTCCTCTGGATAGCTAAAAAATGTGGCTTTTAACTAAAGATGTGCTTGTAGCCAGAATTACTGACCACAATGACAGAAATCACAACTCAAAAAACAAAATTTTTCAAAGGTATTGATAACTCTGTTCAAACACATGTACTCTACAAAAAGGATGCCACTTTCTGGAATATAGACAGTTCATCTCAAGTGTTAAATAAACCAGACATTCACTGGCTTACAGAGTCTAACCATTAGGGCCCTGCTGAACTCCTACTCTAAAACCACTCTATGACAAACTCTCCTGTAATAGTTTCATAAAACCCAAGTGCTCAAGCTCCTTGAGAAGTTCATTTGACTAAATTCACTCAGTAATTTCTAGCTTTACAAATTTCTTATACACTCAGTTTTATCTTTTCTCTTTATTTCTATAACTTTCTTTTTTATAAATTTTTTTTAATCACAACTAACTTTTTTAGTGATATCTTATGAGAGGCTTCAACAGATCAAAACACTTGAGGAAATAATCCATCATGAGTAAGAATCAGCAAACACAATAAGTAAGAGAATCAGATACCCAAGAACCTCCCATAACAGAATTCTATGACTAAAACTGTAGTTCTTGATATGTGTGTGCTGAGTCATTCAAGATGAGTCCAACTCGTTGTTGACCCCAAGGACTGCAGCATGCCAGGCTCCTCTGTCCATGGGGATTCTCCAGGCAGGAATACTAGAGTGGGTTGCCATGCCCTCCTCCAGGGGATCTTTCGAACTCAAGGATTGAAGCCAGGTCGCCTGCATTGCAGGCAGATTCTTTACCGTCTGAGCCGCCAGAGGAGCCCAAGAATACTGGAGTGGGCAGCCTATCACTTCTCCAGGGGATCTTCCCAACCCAGGAACTGAACCGGGGTCTCTTGAAATACTATTCACCCATAAAAAATAATGAAGATTTTCCATTTGCAACAACATGGACGGATTTGGAGGATATTATGCTAAGTGAAATTAGTCAGACAAATACTGTATGATATCACTTACATGTGAAATCTAAAAAATACAGCAAACTAGTGAATATAACAAAAAAGAAACAGACTCACACATATAGAGAACAAACTAGTGGTTACCAATGGAGAGAAGGGGGAGGGGCAAGATATGGGGAAAGGATGAAGAGGTACAAACCATGACATATAGAATAAGCTACAAGGATATATTGTACAACACGAGTAATATAGACTACATTTTATAATAACTATAAAGGAAGTATAACCTTTAAAAATTGTGACTCACTATATTGTATACCTGTAACATATAATGTTGAACATCAACTGTACTTCAATTAAAAAATTTTTTAATATAAATATATATATATACATAAAACTATAGCTACTGGGTATTGTGTAAGGTCACCATGAGAAAGGATTGGACCTCAATCTTGAATTCCCTCAGATCTGTACTTGTTTGTGATCATGCTTCTGCAAACACTGGTCATCTTTCATATAATCTCTATTTGTTTAATTCTTCCCCATCTTTTAAGCACAAACATCATCTCTTCTAGAAAGTCTTCCTTGATTTCTTTAGCCAGCTATGATTGCCTATTTTTCATTAATTCCTATGATAATTTTTGTACCTCTTATGATAATCTTCATATTTTGCTTTATATAATTATGCCGGTCTCCCTCTATCCCTGCCAAAGGTAAATTGCTCCAATTTTGCAGGACCCCACAAAAAACAAGCATTTACCCATACTTTAGATAGATAAGACCAAACACTATAGCAATGAGGTCAACACCAATATTTTCTTTAGATTGTTAACAAAAAGATGTCCTAACCAAAAGCTATAGTAGAATGGTCAATAAGTCATGTAAAATTCACTGATGTACTAAAGACAGGCTTCTCCATGCTGACCACCGTACTGGTAATAACCACTTGTATACTAATATCATGTCATAATTTGTTAATTTCTTTAATATATATTATTTTGTTTTCATTTTTGTAAGCATCCTCTAAGGTAAAGAATATTATTTTCATTTTATAGATAAGAAATATAAGGCCCAGAGAAGCAAGTTCAGGGCATACTAGAAACGAACCCTTCCTATGTCCAGCCTGAGGCTCTTTTCACTGTCTTGAATCACCTTTCCAAACACATCAAGTTTTAGCAAGGTCAGTGCTCTCCCAGAGCTGGTCCAATCTAAACTGGCTTCCCAAGAAGCACTTACCTGCCATTCATCAGCACCAGAACAGAACGATTGTTGACTTGATTATCATTTTGGTGCCTTTTCTAAAATCATACAAGAAAATGTTCAGGAAATAGACATAGAGCAAACTGCATTTAGAAGATTAATATTTTGAACTATTATTCAATGTAGTTCCTCTTCTTTGTAACTCTCCCTTACCCTCACTTCTTCACCACCTTCCCCCCCAACCCCTGGCCAATTCCAAGTTCTTCCACCATTAAAACCAGACCAAGAAGCTGGTTGTCTCTGAGAAGCTGGGAAAGGAGATCAGAAAAAGAATCAAGCGAGAAGAAAGAGACAAACTCTTTGTTTTAATATCAAGAGCCAAAGCCTGGGGTGATGAGAACAAATAACTTATGTTGAAAGTCACAGAGGAGAGAATGAAAAATGATGGGCCTACACCTTGGTAGGTGGAGGGAAGTTATGTATTCACAAGTTTATCAATACCCCTACTCTCAACCAGAGTCAGCATAAGAAGCTTCTACCATGGATGCAATGAAGAAAGGGGAAGAGAGGTCTATTCAAAGACCAAATAAGAGGGTGACAGATAAGGGTATGTCCTGATGCTAAGACTCACACGAGTCCCTTTCCTTTCAGCTGAGATTACTCCCTGGGAAGAGGGCAGAAAGAATCCTGAATTGGTCAGAATATTTCTCCTAAAGAGACTGAGTTCTAAACCAGAAGGAACTGCATGGGTTATCCTGAATTGGCAAGTTTAGCTTTCGGCTCTCATTAAAAAAGAGCTGAGATGGCGAGGTGGTGGTTATGAGTTACATTGAGTTTAGTTATGGAAAATTAAGTTATATTTTTGCACATCTGAGTTGTGCCTGAAATTTAAACCACTATATATGTTAATTCTGGGTTTAAAGAGTCACAGAGTTAAAGAGCTGGAGAAACACTCTGCTCTTAAACTTTGATATAAAAATCAGAAGGACTCTCTTAGGGAAGCTCCAAACAGGTCAATACGATGGGCTTCCCAAATCCCACTGGCAGGCACGGCAGGGGTTCCGCAAGTTCGCCCTCCCACCGGGCCCTGCTGTAATGGAGCACGCAGGAAGCCACCTGCACTCCTGAGAGCCCTGCTGTAATGGAGCACGCAGGAAGCCACCTGCACTCCTGAGAGCCAGCTTCTCCCGCCAAGCCCAGGGGAAGAAGCCAGGCTCTGCTGAGTCATGATGCTCTCTAAACCCAGAGGTTCCTAGCTGTGTGCGCCTGACAGAACCGAAAGCTGGAGGGGGACATACGGAGAGCCGGAGAGGAGAACGGGAATGTAGAGGGGAGATAAGACCGGAGGAAGCAAGGGGGACAGGAAGAAGGGCAGAGGAACACAGAAATGTGAGAGGGTGAATTCAGAAAGAAGGGTGAGAGCAAGCCCAGAGAGAGCTAAGTGAAGGCAGAGGTGGGTTATGAAGGAGATGGAAGGAAACCTGGAAAAGGCGGCAGGAAGAAGACAGAGAAAGGCCTTGTGTGAGCCCTTTCTGGCCATGGATGGCTCATCAATCTTGGGCTTACAGGATTCTCCTATTCCTCTGGCACAGATAAGGACATAGGGAAAGGAAACACCTCTTTCCCTTCGGTGCTTCCTTCTAGTATTAGGCAGTTCTAGGGAGTCCTTCATGCTCACTCCCTCCCCAGCCTGACTAGGTACAGTGAGGGCAGAGAGGCCCTGGAAGCCACTTCACCACATCATCGATGGCATCTTTCACTGCTGTTATGGAGAGCACCACCATCAGGGGGACCACAGTCGTGTACCATGCCAAGGAGGAGATCTGGGGAATCAACTGGGAGAAGAAAGGGGAGAGAAACATGGGTCAGAAAGCTTAAAGGACAATGTATTTCCTCCCAACCCCCACTCCACCACCATTTTCACCCCCCTAGATTCATAATAAGTTCAACAATCCTAGTTGTTTCCACTGTTACAACCTCCAAATAGCCACCCCAGTATAAGCAAACACCTCCTAAAGATGAAAGAAGAGGAGATGATAAATTGCCAGGTACTGTCCTGAACTCTAATATCTTTGTCTTGATGGCAAAGAGCCATTCCTCTTCTGATAATGAAGGTGCTGGGGGTAGGGCATGAAGTGTGGACATGGGAACCACATAGCCGCCTACACCCCTTCAGCACAAGGAGAAATGAGATGGCCCGTCTCTCTCTCCCAACCTGGGCCTACTCTGCCCTGCTTCCGTGCCCCGTGCTGATGTTCCAAACCATTCTCCTCCCTTGGTGCTCCCACGTGTTAACTTTCTGCCGGGGAGGCTGGGACAAGGAGGAGGAACGGGGCTGCAGCTGAGGCGGGGGTGCAGAATCAAGTCTGTGGCCTTTCGCGGTTAAGCTGAACTGGTCATGCAGCCACGGTGAGGGAGCACCCTCACTTGGGACTTGGCGACCTTGTCTCCTTCCTCCTGGAGAGGCTTGTTTCACCCTGGCTAATCCTGACCACAGCTGTTCTAGGAGACTGGCCTGAGACTCCAGCCATTCATTTGCCTCTTGTCTAAAGAGAGAAGACATCTCTCAGTTTAAGAAGAAGGACTGATTACATAACCTGACCCCAGAGAAGCTGATAAAATATTCTGTGGAAAAGGCCCTAAAAGGTAATACCTGTAGAAGAAGCAAAAAGAGGAAATATGCATTTGCAAGTCTCTGGAACTGTTCAAACAGGTTCATAGGCAAGAAGGTTAAGGCACTATATTTTGCGGTTTTGATGCTATTATCCTGTTAATAAAAGAACACAAGCAGAATTAGAGTAACAAAAGACTCCACCCTCAAGTCTTAACAAAAAGGACCAAGACCACTTCATAAAATAGGGAAAAGCTAATAGCTTCACAACATAGTGAGGTAAGGAAGGAAGAAGTGGTTGTCTCCAGACTCTTGTCTTTGAGGCCCAGAGAGGCTTGTGTATGTATGCAAAGATGGCAAGGTTGATCAATATGGGACATTTTTAGGAGGGGCAGGATGTATTTGTGCCCTGAGTAGAATTCTTTGTTTATTGATGCTATTGATAATAATGATGATAATAAAATCAACAACAGTCAAAACTTATTAAATATTTACTATGTGTAAAGTACTATACTAAGTACTTTAGTACTATTCTGAGTATTTTAGAAAAAGCAACTTATTTAATTCTCAAAACGACTGTAAGAAGGGAGTAATATCACCTTTTCAGGATGCGGAAGCTGAGGCCCTGAGGTTGAATTATTTGCCGAAGACTATCCAGTTACTTGTGGAGTTGAGACTGTGCTGTTCCCTGAGCCCCAGTTCACTTGTGCAGCCATCCAAAGCTTTCCTTCCTTAGAATCAGAAATCTCTCTGTTCATCTCATCCTCTGACTCAAGGTCCTTCGCGGTGCCAAACAGTGGCAAGTTCACCATTTGTGTTCACTCTGCCCAGAGTTCTCTACTGAAGCTTTTCTTGAGTCTGGCAAACCCATTTTGGTGTGTCTTTACATGTTGCTTTCAGTGCTGAAAGGTGTCAGACGCCAAAAGCAAATGAGTGTCCTTCAACCTTAGCCCACTGAAGGTTCCTACACTGGTTGCTTTCAGCACTGGAGAATCACTTGCCCCTTAACTGTCCTGGGGGTCTGAATAGCTTTGGCCTACATCTAAGCTATCATTTTGCTGAGTAAAAATAGGAACTTGCTACCTCTTCAATGCTGATCTCAAGATGTTGACAAGACCATCTTACTTTCTACTTTTGGCTCTTCAGTTGTTTGACCTAAGATGTAAGGGTTTGAACCTAATAGCTTAAGAAAAGTAGGAGAATGAGACCAAATAATCCCCTAAGGACAGGGCTTCTCTCCCACCTCCTCCACCTATAGGGTCAAACAAGAACAAACCTACCTGCAGTCCTGGAAAACAGACACTGCTTAAGCATGAAGAATCTTTTCTGGGTCCTACCTTGGGAAGACATCTGAATAACTCTTGAAGAACCAACATCTTTTTGTCCTAAGGCTAAAATTGGCCTTGGGAAACTAGACAGGCAACCCAGTCAAGTCTTGCTTAAGGTCTATTTCCTTAGAGAAGAGAAGCTGGTCAAATAGCCTAGCACTTAGGAGTTTAGAGATCCAAGTTTAACCTAAGATTTCTTTGGTATTTCTCCATGACTTTTCAATTAATGATCAATCAAACACTATACATTTCTCAAGGTTTGTTCTGTTCACAGCTCTACACTGGGCTATACTAGTAGAGACTGAAAAAGAATTAAACAAAATCTGTTCTGGAAAGTTCACAGGTATGTCTTGAATGGAGTTCTAACTAAATGACCTCTAAGGCCCCTCCCAACCCTGAGGGTATGTTATTCTAACATAGAAATGGTTTTCTGTGATTTTAAGATAGCCTGAATTTTTTAGTGTCTAAGTCCAGATGACTCTGATATTTGGGCCCAAAGATCTTTTGATTTTCACCTTACTAAAGCAGTTAGCTTTAGTAAATTTTCCATTTGACTTTACAGTTAATGTATTTGGTTTCTACTTATTTGGGTAGCATTTTTTTTTAGAAAACAAAGACAAAAGCTATGATGATTCTGTCCCAAGATAGACAAATCAGTACTTCTTTACTAACTTGGCAGCTAGAGTGTTTTGTCCTACTCTTAAATGTCAAACCAGAAGCAAGAATCTTAAGGATGTAGAACATTTGCTTAACTATGGATAACTCCTTTGACATGATAGAGATGGTAGATTTGGGCTTGGGGCATTTATTTATTTGGGCAGGGATATCCCCTGGTGGCTCAGACAGTAAAGAATCCACATGCAATGCTGGAGACCGGGGTTCGATCCCTGGGTTGGGAAGATCCCCTGGAGGAGGGTATGGCGACCCACTCCAGTATTCTCGCCTGGAGAATCCCCATGGGCAGAGGAGCCTGGCGGGCTACAGTCCATGGGGTCACAAAGAGTCGGACAGGACTAAGTGACTAAGCACAGCACCCGGCTGACTGCTAAAGTGGAAAATAGAAAACAGAAGGCCCAGGATATAACGAGAATCAGGAGTTATGGGGTCGAAAAGAGGAAAGGCAGCAGTGGTGGTGGTGGTTCAGTCACTAAGTCATGTCTGACTCTTGTGATGTCCGTGGGACTTCCCAGGCAAGAATACTGCAGTGGGTTGCCATTTCGTTTTCCAGGGAATCTTTCTGACCCAGGGATCAAACCCATGTCTCCTACATTGCAGGCAGTCTCCTGCATCACAAATGGATTCTTTACCACTGAGCCGCCAGGGAAGCCTAAAAGGAGTAGGAATGGAAGAAATTAGAGAAATAGGGAAAAAATGACCAATGGATAGGGCCAGGGAAATGCAATGGTTGTTAAGTACATAAGAATCAGTCAAATCAGTTTACTTGTTCATCAATTATTTGCATACATTTACTGAATTTCATTTATGGGCCAGATATTGTGATGGGAAAAGTAGTTACAGAGATGAATGAAATTTGTACCCTTCCTTTAAAGGGTAACAGTTTTTTGGTGAAAGAGAATTAACATTTTCACAACCATATTTAACTCTAACAACCACCATGTACAGTGAACATTATTATGTTCTTTTTATAGATGAGGGAACTGAAGATCAAAGAAGTTAAAATAAATAATGTGCCTAAGGATACAACGTTAGTAAGGAGTAGAGCTATGTTCAAACTCAGAGTGATGCCAAAACCTGCACCTTAGAGTTACTTAGAAAAACTTTAGAGAGAGGAAAAGGTAGAGAAGGAGAAACCTGTTCCCACAGCCATGTCCTAAACACTGTTATTATCCAGAGCCTCTCTAACTCAGAAATCACAAACTAGTATCCTATAGAGACTATTGTGTGTGTATATGTATATATATACACACACACACACATATATATACACACATGCATATAGACATATACTATAATACATAGTATATATATACATATATATCATATATAGTATATATACACATATATATTATATACTTACAGCACTATATATTAATATATCTACATATGAATAAAGTAACATATAAGTAAAAATTGCTTCTAATTGTAAAAGATTGGAAACAATCCAAATGTCAATTTGTAAGAAAGTGGTTACGTAAATTATGCTATCTGCCAGGGAAGCAGTTGAAAAAAGAAGGAAAATGCTATTATGAAATTATAATTATGAAAACATCTCCAGGACATAACGTTAAGGTTCAGAATAGTTTAAGAAAGTGGGAAAATGAGAATATATATGTGTGTCTGTGTGCGTGTGCATTTGTGTGTATATTTGCTTTATTTGCACAAAGAAGCACTGCTGAATATATGATAAACTAATAAAAGTGATTCCTTCTAGGAAGCAGAGATGTGGACAAGGATGGGGTATTGGAGCATGACTTTTAAACCATGTATCTTTTTATCAGTTACTTATTTATAAATAAATAAGTGAAAATGAACAATCTAATAGGAAATGGGCAAATATCATTAACAGTTGTTTCCATAAAAAGATGTACAAAGGCTAATTAACAAAAAAATTACTGCTCTCACTCAAAATTAAGGAAAATATATATTATATACTTACAGCACTATATATTAATATATCTACATATGAATAAAGTAACATATAAGTAAAAATTGCTTCTAATTGTAAAAGATTGGAAACAATCCAAATGTCAATTTGTAAGAAAGTGGTTACGTAAATTATGCTATCTGCCAGGGAAGCAGTTGAAAAAAGAAGGAAAATGCTATTATGAAATTATAATTATGAAAACATCTCCAGGACATAACGTTAAGGTTCAGAATAGTTTAAGAAAGTGGGAAAATGGGAATATATATGTGTGTGTGTGTGTGTGTGCATTTGTGTGTATATTTGCTTTATTTGCACAAAGAAGCACTGCTGAATATATGATAAACTAATAAAAGTGATTCCTTCTAGGAAGCAGAGATGTGGACAAGGATGGGGTATTGGAGCATGACTTTTAAACCATGTATCTTTTTATCAGTTACTTATTTATAAATAAATAAGTGAAAATGAACAATCTAATAGGAAATGGGCAAATATCATTAACAGTTGTTTCCATAAAAAGATGTACAAAGGCTAATTAACAAAAAAATTACTGCTCTCACTCAAAATTAAGGAAAGATAGATAATGGAATGTCATTTTCCATGAAAGGGTCTGGTAAAGATAAAAAAGACTGACAATACCAATGTGGCAGGAATATGGAGAAGTGAGATGTCTTTGCTATAGATAGAAATATAAATAGATATAACCCTTTTAGAGGGCAATCTGGCAATACGTATCAAAAATTTTAAGTGTTTCATTTTTGATCTGGCCAATTCACTTCTAGGAAACTCTCCTAAAGTATATTTACAAAAATGTGCCAAAGCATATGGCGTATAAAATGGTGTTCATTTAGGGCCATTTATCACAGCAAAATATTGGAGAAATATTTTTTGGAGGGGGCACCTGGATATAAAAGGAGATACTTAAAATGTTAATCAGTAAGAAACTGGTTAAATCAATTAAGGTATATCGATACAATGGAAAACTATGTTGCTATTAAATGAATTAATAGCAGGAGGAGAAGGGTATGACAGGATGAGATGGTTGGATGACATCACCAACTCGATGGACATGAATTTGAGCAAGCTCTGGGAATTGGTGATTGACAGTCCATCACCATTGCTGCAGTCTATGGGGTCACAAAGAGTCAGACACGACTGAGCAACTGAACTGAACTGAAAGCTAATATTGCACAGGGGTTTTTGAATGGATCTAGTTGGCCCTTGAAACACTCGGGTGTTAAGCACAGCAACACCTGTGAAGTTCAAAATCTGTGTATAATTTATAGTTGGCTCTCAGTGTCTGAGGTTTCATATCCACCAATTCAGCCATCCTTGGACTGAGTGGTACCACAGTACATATTTTTTGAAAAAAGATCTCTATGTCAGTGGACCCACGCAGTTCAAACCTGTTATATTCAAGGATCAACAGTAAACAGTTGAAGATTCTTATCCCTAAGAGTGTACCATGTAAATTGTTTTAGGTCTTGGCCTTAAGAGAAAATAGCCAAAAAATATGGAAACGTGGTTAAAAAATCAAATAAAAATTATAAATTTAAATAGTAATGTCATTAATTTAATATTTGATATTCTCAGAACACAATGATTCACTGTGAAAAGTTCCGACTCCCTTTTAAAAACTCATAAAGTATTTAAAAGGTAGATCATGCAAGGTTTTTAATAGTGATGAAATAAATTGGCAAAACAGAAATAATGAATGTTAATATATTCTAGTCAAATCGTAAGATATGGGTTGAAAATGTTTACAAAATTTACTTTGACACACGTGTATTTGAAATGATAAATAGATTATTCTTAATGTAATTTGCATATATATTTGCTTTTTTCCCTTCTTCTTAGGAATTAGATACACTTAAGCAATAGCTAGATTCACTGAATATGAAAAAAGAGACCTTGGAATCTGTAAGTATAAAATGAAGTAAAAATTTTCATATTACTCAGCTGCAAAAGGTATCTCAGTTGAATATATTAATGGAACTCATTCAGGTATATATTTATTTCATAGTTTACTAACAGAAGTATAATTTTTTTCCCATTCAGAACTTCAAATATCCTAGTTTAGTAAAAAACTAGATTCAGTGGGCATGCCAACCCATTCCAGTATTTTTGCCTGGAGAACCCATGGACAGAGGAGGCTGGCAGGCTACAGTCCAAAGGGTCACAAAGAGTCAGATATGGCTGAGTGATTGAATTGAACTGATTAAATGAATTAGGAAGGTCTACATGTATTACCATAGAGAGATATCTAAATGAAAAAATAAAACTATGAAACTATGCTTTAATTTGTTCAAGCTAGAGTATTTCTTTTCAAGGCGCTATATATGAAACCAAAATTTGAGACACATCCTCCCCTGAGCCTAGGTCACTGGATTAATTTGGTTTCTCAGCCCTCACTGCACCAGCCCTCATTGTACAGGAGCTTGAAAGAAAGTGGAACCTATGTTGTAGGATTTACATCTACAAGGAATTTCCTGCCTCACTAACAATGGGGGATATTAGAGAAAAACATCAGCCCTCTCTTGAAATAGCTAGAGACCAGATACTCACCGGGTATCCAAACAGACTGTTAAATTCTCTATTGTTGGCTTGCAGATATCGCTCTCGTTCTGAAAAAGACGAGAGAAATGATGAGCAGGATGCCCCTCTGAGACGAGCCTGGGATGCTGGCTGCCAGTGACTTCACTAGCATCTCACATGTTCTCACCAAGAATATCTGTCCACAAACAGGTGTTTGTCTCTTTGTTCAAAGAATCAAACAATACAGTAAAAATGGAAACCCTCAAGTGTTTGAGCTTTCTGGAGGCAAGAGGACAAGCAACTTCTGAGGAGCTCTCCACCATTAAAGCTTCTAGTAACCCCAGACTATATTCCCACAGACAACAGGATGGCCTGCGTCAACATTACTGCCAAACACAGAAACTCAGTCCTCCTTCATAAGTTAATTACAGCAATAGTTTTAGATACCTGAGGTTCTTTCTAAGGGCAGCCTTTCCTAAATTTGCTTGACTAAATCTGAATTAATAAATCATTACCAGTATCTATTGCACAGAAACCAGTGTGCTGGATGCTGTGAGGAGATAAAAAGATAAGTAAGGCAGAGTCCTTACTTGTGATTTAGTGGAGTCGGCCTGATAACAACACATGACAAAATCATCACATCAAAACACACAGATCTCACAAGCTATTACAGATAGCTCATTACTGTGTTATAAAACATCTCAAAAATATAAATTATCAACAGATCTTTCTGTCCTGAATAAAACATTCCTATTGCCTCTTGAATTCTTCATTGGTTCAACAAGCATTTACTGAGTTCTTGGCAGGTGTTAAGCCCTGTGTTATGAACATTCATGTAACCTGGTGGCTCAGCTGGTAAGGAATCTGCCTGCAATGCGGGAGACCTGGATTCAATCCCTGGGTTGGGAAGATCCCCTGGAGAAGGGAATGACTACCCACTCCAGTATTCTGGCCTGGAGAATTCCATGGACTAATTAGTCCATTGACTAATGATGATATTGAGTATCTTTTCATGTATTTTATTGAACATCTATATATCTTCTTTGGAGAAATGTCTATTTAGATTCTTTGCTCATTTTTAAACCAGGTTAATTATCTTTTTATCACTGAACTATGAGTTCTTAATATGTTCTGAATAGAAATCAGTTATAAGTGACTTGCAAATATTTTGTCTCTTATTTTAAATGTCACTTTTATAATGTACCAAATTCTAACATATTGAATATAATTATCGGTTTTCTTAAGCCTCCTGCATTGACAGACAGGTTCTTTACCACGCCACTTGGGAAGCCCCTAATTATGGGTTTTCTATTAAGTTCTAGTCTATCCATCTTTAAGAAAAAAATTTTTAATTGAAGTACAGTTGGTTTACAATATTGTGTTAGTTTCAGGTATACATAAAAGTGATTCAGTTGTTTATATATATATATATATATATATGATTTTTTCAGATAATTTTCCATTATATGTTATTATGAGATACTGAATATAGTTCCCTGTGCTATATAATAAATCCTTGCTGCTTATCTGTATTATGTATAGTAGTTTTTATTTGTTAATCCATACTCCTCATTTATCCCTCCCTCTATCCGTCTTTTAAATTATGTAACTTTTAATACAGGAAAGAGAGTCTTCTATTTTAACATCTTCTTGGCTATTCTTTTTTTTTAAAGTAATTAATTTGGCTGTGCTGGGTCTTAGTTGCGGCATGCAGGATCTTTAATTGTGGCGTGTGAACTCTTCATTGCAGCATGTGGGATCTAGTTCCCTGACCAGGGATCGAATCTGAGCCTGATGCATGGTGAGCGCAGAGTCTTAGCCACTGGACCCCCAGAGATGTTTCTTCTTGCCTATTCTTGTCTATTTTCTCTTCTAGGTAAACTTCAGAATCATTTTGGCCAATTTGCTTAGGATGGGAGTTTTAATTAGAGGTGAAGACAAAGAAAATTTTATTCACTAGATCCTGGAGATGGAGTGAACGTGGGTTATTAGAAAACACAGAGCTCCCTCCCATGGGAAGTACAGTCAGGTCTGGAAAATCACACTGCATTTCTCAGGGGGCTAAGAGAATATGCTTCTGAAAGCTGAGGAGAGAGCCAGTGACATCTAAGACAGGGACCTGTATGGTTCTTCATGTAATTTCCTTTATTTATCCTCTGGTTGTCAGCAAAAATTACTAAAGATCATGAAATCAGAACATGATTAAATTTCTTACAGAAAATATCTAAGGGGCCAAAGTCTGCACATTGGGCAATGCTTGAAGTTCAGAATTCGCACAAATTGCAGGAAAGGTGAAACTGAGATGTTTAGTTCCTTTTACCCAAGGATTTACATACATAGGTTTCAAAACTTCACAGATGAATCTGGAGACAGATGACACTTCTGCACTGTTAGTCAGTCCCCCATTCAGCAGCATACTATATCCCCGGAGGGAAATTGCTATGCCTGCAGGAAACCACTGCTTTGTACTTGGTGATCACATCTGTACAATCACCTTGCTAAACAATACATAGATTCAAGGGATTAGATCTGATAGAGTGCCTGAAGAACTCTGGACTGAGGTTCGTGACACTGTACAGGAAGCAGGGATCAAGACCATCACTAGAAAAGGAAAGGCAAAAAGGCAAAGTGGTTGTTTGAGGAGGTCTTACAAATAGCTGTGCAAAGAAGAGAAGTGAAAGGCAAAGGAGAACAGGAAAGATATATGCATTTGAATACAGAGCTCCAAAGAACAGCAAGGAGAGATAAGAAAGTCTTCCTTAGTGATCCATACAAACAGAGGAAAACAATAGAATGGGAAAGACTAGAGATCTCTTCAAGAAAATTAGAGCTACCAAGGGAACATTTCATGCAAAGATGGGCTCAATAAAGGACAGAAATGGTAGGGACCTAACAGGAGCAGAAGATACTAAGAAGAGGTGGCAAGAATACACAGAAGAACTGTACAAAACAGATCTTCATGACCCAGATAATCATGATAGTGTGATCACTCACCTAGAGCCAGACATCCTGGAATGGGAAGTCAAGTGGGACCTAGGAAGCATCTCTACGAACAAAGCTAGTAGAGGTGATGGAATTCCAGTTGAGCTATTTAAAACCCTACAAGATGATGCTGTGAAAATGCTGCACTCAATATGTCAGCAAATTTGGAAAACTCAGCAGTGGCCACAGGACTGGAAAAGGTAAGTTTTCATTCCAATATCAAAGAAAGGCAAAGCCAAAGAATGCTCAAACTACCTCACAATTGCACTTATCTCACACACTAGTAAAGTAATGCTCAAAATTCTCCAAGCCAGGCTTCAA